ATTTGTTTGGGAGTTTATGTTGATTATTAAACTTTTTTTAAATTTCCTTTATTTATCACATTTACTCAGAAAAAAAATCGCCAAACATGAACTTATCGTCATGTTTAACATCAGATATTTCTCTGTGTATCTCAATAAAAAAACTTCAAAATTAAGAGAATGACGTACGTACGTGTAAATGAGGGAAACCATTTTATAAAAGCAATTAAAATTAAATGCAAATTTTGTAAATAAACACTAATTTCACTAAAACTATTTTAATTGCACAAAAATAAAATTCTAAACAAATTTTACGATAAAATTACGTTTCTTATCAAGACAGCGTTGTCTAATCAATTGTTTAGACAACACTGTCATAACGACGTTATAACGCTAATAAATTCTGTCTGTACCTGCTAATTTTTTATCGTGATAATAATTTGACGTTTAGCATAATAAATATTTGTCTAATATAGACATGGGGTAATTTTCCATCCGTATTTTCTCTCAATATGTGATGGTTTCATTACATATTGCGTTTAGACGATCCCAAAGTATATTAATAAAGTAGCGACATGTCTTGTTGTACAACACCACATGTATTTTGTTTTTGGAATAATTTAAGATTGTGTCAAAATCATATGGTTTATGTTTATAAAATTTAACAAAAATTTCTTTCAACAACAATGGAAAGAAAACTTAAATAAAAAAATACTTTTAAGTTTAAAATATTAAGGATATAGTTATATTATTATACATTATATAATTTTTAACACTTTAAAACCACTTTTTATTCACTTTTTCAACTTTTCACAAATTTTTTAGCAAATAGCAAAGCACTACATAAAAATTGCGACATAAACAATGTTGATAATTTTCAAAATACACTTTGACAACTTCTTCATTTGTTTAGTTTAAAAAAATAGTCAGCTGTTCAAGTGATGCTATTTTATTAATATACTTTGCATGATCCCATCCGTACTCTTCTACACAAAGTTTTAACAGATTATATTACTTGTGGGCTTGTGAAATGAGGACTTTAGTTGACTTCACCTTATTATTCAACCATGTCTGAGTGTTAGCTTTGTTTTCGCGCCTAATTCGAGTCGCTGCTTTGACTTCAAACCAGCTTCGTTGACGTCAACGAAGCTACACCTTTTTACATTGCTGGTATGTCATACCGTAAAGGGCTAGGGTATCGAACATGTGTATTTCAAATGGGAAGTGCAGTTGATGTCAATTCTGCCGACTGCGAAAAGAAATTCTGCTAGAATTTTTCGCGCCAAGCTGTTTTCTGCATTTTTTATTTGCCACAAAAAATCTGTTGTTGTGTGTGTGCGAAAATCTAAAATGACAGAAATGATATTCTTTAAATAAAAAAATAATTTTTTACTAAAAATTGAAATTAATAAGATTGTATGCTATACTACTATACCGAGGGTCATTGTACAAAGAAACAGCAAGTGTTGGGTTGAATTTAGTTAAATTGTTAATAATTATGATGAAATTTTTTTAAGGCGGAGTTTGTTTTCGTTTAGTACCCAAAAGTGTTTATCGAAATCTATATTTGGCATATTTGTGAGATCTAGAAGATTAAAAAATGTAAGTAATGGTGTTAATTAATTATTTATTTGTCTATAAAGAACGTCTTTCTTTTCAAGAAAGAGGAGGCATCATGATGGTCTCCTGGAAGAATGCCCACATATATAACTCCCTAGACACCTAGGCGGGTGGTGGTCGGTCGGCTAGTGGTGACATGGTATATTATCACCTAGAGGCAATGGACGGAAGCTGATTGCCGTATTCAGGGGGTATCCTTGGGATACATACTTATTATTATACCATTGATCTCAGCAGAATCACTACCATACACCCATAATAGAGCGCGATGTCTGTCTGGTGTGCCTTTCAGTGAAGCTCTTGTTGTCTCCAAACACTATGGTGGCCGAATATTTACAAGAAACAATTGTTAAGCCGCCTTTTATACAAATTTATAGCTTTGTAGAGAATGTCTTCACGGACCTAGAGGATATAACCTGGCTAGGTACCTATGTAGATGTTGTTTGGGCAAAATATTGGTACTAACCATTGTGGGCTTTATGTCGACTTTACGTCCCTTATAGTTGTCACACTATACCAAATAAGCATTCTTGCTGGAATTAAAGTTTAAAACAAGTTTAATTCCAGTCAAACATTCAAATTTCACTTTAATTCAATAGCATTCTCCAGTGAAACTTGAATTCAAGTCGAACATTACAATGTTTTTACAGTATAATTCAATGCACGAAATCTATATACATAATACATATATAAAATTCTAACGTTACTGACTGACTGACTGATTCATCATCGTAGAGCCTAAACGGTTTTAGCTAAAGAGCTGAAATTTAGACAAGAGGTTGGTCTCCCACCAAATAGATCCACTTAGACGGGATTTTTGGAAATTCGAATTATTAGGGGGTTAAAAATGGTAAAACGGGTAAATGCGGTAACCTCATATCTCCTAAACTATAAAAGATACAAAAACAGTTTAAAGCTTATCGTCGTTCATTTAAAAAATAAGCGGGCAGGTGTCTGGTACTTTTTTCAAATTCGGCCCCTTTGGGGAATTAACGGGTAGAAACTGTAATTTGGTACTTCTTTTGCACCCCATGTATCTTTTAAACCAGAGAACATTCAAAAAATATTTTTGAATCCTTCATAACTTGACGAACAAATAAAAATATAAATTTAGTACTTTTTGGATATTCGGACGTTTAAGGGGTGAAAATTGTACCTATTTTTGGTACTTTTTTATAAAACATTGTTTTTGGTTTATTAACTTATACATATGAATACATAATAACGGGCTCCCAATACGATGTTGCAACTGGTACTTTTTTGACTTAGAACTTAGAAACGTGTAATTAAGCACTTGAGAATCTATAAAAGTGGACTTTTTGGTACTTTTTCGTTCTTCAAAAGGTACTTTTTGAGTTTTCTATAATATTGAACCTAGAAACATGAATTTAGGAATGTACAGCCCGGATTAAGTAATAACATATAAAAGGGAACTTTTTGGTACTTTTTCGTTCTTCAAAAGGTATTTTTTGAATTTTCTATAATATTGAACATGGAGTAAGTGAGAACATATAAAACGGGACTTTTTGGTACTTTTTCGTTCTTCAACTTGTACTATTTGGATTTTCTTTTATAATGAACCTAAAAACATAAAACTAAGCAATCAGGGACTTGAGTGAATGAAAATTTAAACTGGAGTATTTCTGGTAATTTTTCGTTCTTTAACTGGTACTTTTTGAATTTTCTAAAATATTGAATATATAAACATAAAATTAAACACGCAGTATCCTAATTGAACGAAAATTTATCTCGCTTATGTCCATTTTGCAAAAAGGGCTCGATATCAATCGAAATCTCTATAGGCCATAGTTGACCCTGCCCCCTTCAATAATTAATTTTAACGTTTTCTACGTACTTAATAATACCATAATAAAACAATTTTTGTTGGAACGAAAATATGTAATGAAATCTTCTTCAGAAAATGACTTAAACGCATATAAATGGCTTTCAAATGTCGATGTCGACGAAATAAACATTTTTAGGAACCGAAACCCACATTTATGAAAAATAAAATTATGAGGATCGGTCCGCCAATATAACCCTCTTACAGAAAATCAGTTTATAGCTAATACATCATTCCAAAAGTTATCATTATGATAGAATTATGGTAGAATTAAAAAAAAAATTAAATTATATATATTATTGTTCCAATTCCACATTTAAGTCCCTAATCCGAAAATCACGGTGACGTTCTTATTAATCTAATGATCGGATCACTTCCGAAATTTGCTTTTTTACGACATATGATTTGCCGAATATAACTCTTACTTCTTACTTATTTTAATCATAAAATACCACTAAAATAGGAATAGTCTTCCTTTAGAGTTGCGAGTTTTCATACATTCTAATAATGTTTTCAAAGTGAAACTTTTGGAATATTTTTTAATCTCTTTGTGATCCCTTTAAATGATGTTGTTCTGGAATAACTTAAACATCCATGTAAACATTTTGGGTAATAAACTAGGGGACTACCAATGAGGGGAGCGGAACCTCCCATATGAATTAAATACACAAATTCGTTTATCTGGGAAACTAATATAACTAAATTCTTCAAATTTTGCACGAACAACTTTAATATTCATCTGAACATTTTGGAGAAAAAAGGGCGGACTTTCATCTGGGGGGCTTGGAGCTCCCATATGAATTAAATAGAAAAATTCGTATATCTGAGAAACTATTACAGTTAGAATCTTCAAATTTTACTGAAGAACATTTAGAGAATAACGGGCGGACTTTCAATGGGGGGCTTGGCACTTCCCATATGAATTAAATACAAAATTTTGTATATCTGGAAACTATTAGATTATTCAAATTTTTCATAGATTAAATTAAAATCTTAATTAACGTTCGGAATAATTGGCGAAATTGCAATAATTTGCGTGGAATCTCCCATATGTAACAAATTGTATATCTGGAAAACCATTGTAGTTAGAATCATCAAAATTGTTAAGTAGGTTTCTTATTTATATTGCTTTTAGGGTAGCACAGCACACTGGGTATAGCTAGTAAATAAACAAATAAAATATCTTTGTTTTTACGTTATTGATCATTTTCTTAATGCAAAACTGATTTTCTGCAAGATGTTTTATATGGAAGATAGGGTTAAATATCGGCAGATCCTAGTAAAACTTGGAGAAAGGATTTGTTTTTAATTTTTAAGAATTTTTTATTCATCCCTGCATAATTTCTCATGCAACTTTTGAGTTTGCTCTGTTTTGTTGTTATAAACAATATATTTGCTTCCAAAATCCTACTTTCTGATCTCTCGGATTCCGTTTTTATTTAAAATCGTTGAAAAATTAAAAACTAAACGTAGTTGAAAACTTAGCCGGCTTACAGTCGATTTTAAGCCGCCGCCGACATATTTAGTGTCAGTCGCCGCCGCCGTTAATATTTGTCGGCGCAGGGCTCTGAGCTGAATACGATAAAAAATAAAAAGTCTCAAAATAACTAGAAACATAAACAAAGTGTGTTGTATATTGTATAAACAATACAAATTTATCTTCGTATGTACAATAAATAAAAAATTTAACAATTCAAAAGTGTATCTGTACGTAATACATGTACATATGTTTTTACAAGATAACACTATAAAGTACGTTTCATTGTTTAATAAATAAATCACAAGTTATAAAAAAAATAATACCAATATTAATATTGAAAAAGGAAAAGTACTCGGTGTAAAATACATATTGGAACATTTCAAGAAGATTCGTGAAAAATTTATTACTGATGAAAAAATAAAAATTTATGTATGTATAATTGTTGGTACAATACAAAATAAACCAATATTATAATGGTTCGTTTGTGAGAACCCTCGACCAGTTTATGTACATAGGTACATACATATGTGTATATATGTATAACTGTAGGTGCTTTACTTTTAGTTGATTAGTTGTGTGTTCAAGAAGTTGAAATACAACTTTTGGTCGATAGAAGCCAAAGCTGAAGACAAACGAGGAACAAGTAACGAAATATATAACAAGATCTCTTCGCTGCAGAATAGTTTCAAACAAGAATAAATACAACTCTTATAATATATTGAACTCGAAAAGAAAATAACTGCATGAGATGGTCCGGTATAATCACGTATCTTGGAAGCATGGCGATGATACATAACAAGTTAACAAGCTAAAAGCAAAAAAAAAAAAGCTTTCAATAAACCATAATAGTTTTTATGCATTTGTGCATCTAAAACAGCTTCAATCATCAGCAGTAGGATAATATACTGTAATCTTATAGCATTTAAAGTTTCCGGAATATAAGTTTTCTATTGAAAGTTATATGTGCTTGGAGTAAATGTGAATAATGAATAAATTACAATTTATATTCATATTTTGGTTTCTTATGCACTCGAGTGTCTGCAGGGGCGATTTTGCCTTACGACAATGTGAACCAATAAAAATCGATTTGTGTCGAAATATCGGCTATAATGAGACGTCGATGCCAAATTTGGTGGGAAATGAATTACAAAGTGACGCTGAATACATATTGCAGACATTCTCGCCACTTATTGAATACGTCTGTAGTTCGCAGCTGAAATTATTTTTATGTGCAACTTACGTTCCTATGTGTACCCCAAAAGTGCCGGTACCTATAGGACCGTGTCGAACACTTTGCGAAAGTGTACGATCTCGTTGTCATCCAGTTCTGCAAGGTTTTGGTTACCCTTGGCCTCCGGCGTTAGATTGTCATCGTTTTCCTAAAGAAAATAATCATGAGACAATGTGTATGGAGGGTCCTGGTGAGGTGCAAGAAGCTCCTGCTGTAAAGGAAATGTATCCAGCAAATCCTGCTGTTAACACACCATTTCAACCAGCTACAGTTTCTAGCACATTCGAATGTCCAGGGCACTCAAAATTGTACGTGAAACTACACCGGTCTGGACGTTGTGCTCCGCTGTGCGAAGCTAATATTCTATTTGGACCTAATGAAAAACACATTGCTGAACTTTGGACACATACGTGGACGTATGCTGCAGCTGGTCTATCGCTTTTGGCTACCATTTCTTTATTATTCTCCGATTCCCGAGCTTCCAAATTACAAGAATCTAGTCAAATAAAAGTTTTGTCATCATTGATGTGGTCGCACACAATGGTAGCAATTGGTTGGACAGTTCGATTTATTGCTGGTAGGACTGCTACATCTTGTGGATTTGACCCTCAGTTACCAAATGTGTCTTTACTCTTAGTAGATGGACTTTCAAATGCCCCATGTGCTACAACATTTATTCTTCGATATTATTTTGGAATGGCGGCTTGTGCATGGTAAAATATTTTTAATTAATACTTTTATTAAATTTTTAACAATTTTAAATAAAAGGGGACATGAAAAAGCTCTTAAAACTTTCGATAAAGAATAAATTTAAAATCCAGTGGACTAAATGCCGTCTAAATTCTCCTAGGACATGCACAAATTAGAAACAGTTTTCATATTCTTACTACAACTTTTAATGTTGTTGAAGTATATATCGTCACCTAAACCGCAAACGGTTTAAATTAGGATGTCCCGTGGACCTGTCTAAAATATGTTCAATAAAATTGCAATCTTTTCGAAATGGATCTCGAAAATTATTTAGTAATAATAGTTGATTATTTTTAACATTATAGTATATTTTTCAAATTTTTAAAAGTTAGTTATAACTGTTAAGTTAAATGCTGATTTTAGTAAACTTTTGCTTTAAATAGTAATCAAAAGAGGGCGTGGAAATTATATTACCGCCCACATGCCAAGTATGTGCATTAGATTTAAGATTATATCTTTAAAATTGAAAAGATATTTAGCCTATAAAGGCAGAAAATGTCCCTTTTAGACGATTGTACTAATAACTCTAAAATTATCGGGGTCGCAAAAGTTAGCTTTTGAAATACATACTCCGATGTGGTCGGATTTTTTCCGATGTTTCCATCGGATTTTTTCCGATGTTTCCATGCTACTCTAAGTCTTAGATCACTTACATATATATAAAAATCGCGAAAACTCAACTTCTTTATTTTGACTTTTGTCGTTCTAGATTAGGAAAATGCGACACTGTGCGCTGGTAGGGAACTGAGGCCCCTTCCAAAAAATGATTTTTTATTTATCACGTTATCAGTACTTTAATAAGCATCGATTAAGTGGTATTTCTACATAAGACACTTAAAATGCTTTTCCTTGTGATACTTAATGTACATACATACAGTAATGTTCGAAACCTAAGCAACTTTTTTTGGCATTGTATACAAAGTGCTATATTTTCTATTTTAATTGATTTATTCAAAATTATATAATTGATTTGTATAATATTATGTATCTACATTATAATAACAACAACAAAAATTTAATTCCATTTCGCTGTGAGTTACAGGAATTAACTCCATAAATAGATGTTAGAAACTTAAGGAACTTTTTGATCTTCTTATGAAAATCTTTGGTCCTTTCGAGTTACAAACACCTTTATGGAATAGATTAGTTACTAATGTAGTTCGTAACGAATCCCAATAGGATTTTAAGCCATTTGCCAGCTGCAATGTTTTCAAAAATTGCGAATTCCGGCCCAGCGCTTCAGAACGCCGAAAAGCATCTCTAAGGGATTTGAGTCGGGAGATGTTGATGAGCAATGAAAGAATTTGGGTCCCATTACCCAATAACTACTATTAGATCAACTTTGCTAAAGGTTTTGGTTCATTATCATGCTGAAAATCGCAAAAAAGTATGTTGTTATGTTCAATGTACTTAATCATATGATTCATTTTGTTGACCAAAAAAGTACCAGAAAGTAAAACAATCCATTTTTATTTGTATTTCAACATTAGGACTTACTCTATTCACCAAAAATCTTGACCACAACCTTAATTGTTTGACCTCCATGCTTTTTTAAGTCTTTAATGTACGATGATCTAACCGCATATGAATCCCGTAGTGACATGGGACGGAGTTTACTTAAATAAATTCGATTTATTCACAAATTTTGTGCAATTTTAGGTAGAATATTGAAATATATTACGCAAGAATAATAAAAACCAGTTTTATTTACAAACGAGTTCACATTTTCCTTCTTAAATTCAGATAGAGTATGCGAACCTCAAGGCTGAAGGAAATATTATAACATACCCTTTTAGTAAAGGCCCAATAAAGAATAGAGAGCAATAATTTAAGACCAAATGTTCAGTTCCACCACAATTTCCCAAGATTTTATGAAAATAAAACAAAATATTTGCAAATTTAATGAGACGTAGATCTCTCTGTATTTATTTATTTATTTATTTATATTTTACCTCGTGGAAGTAATAACGCCAATAGCACGTAGTGCTTATGTTGACGATCAAAAAAGAAGTTCCGGTTCGAAGGACCAATGTTTCGGCGTATATCCGATCCGGTGCAAAATGGATAAACCAAATAAGTTTCCCAAAGAAAAAAAGTAAAACACAAGAAAATTAATTAAACATCAAAATCAGAGAATAAATCTCCTTCTTTATTATTTACCTTGTAAATGTAAGCTTTAAAAAACTCTGCACAAGCAGTAAATGGCTTCACTATGGCGAAAGATCAAATCAAACTTATAACTAATTAATGGAGGCAAACAATGTTTAAACATCGTTAGCGGTTCACTCGTTTACTCGAACTTATAATAGTTTTCCATCAAAGTTGTAAACTATAGTAGTAAATCATTACTTAGAGCAAATAATCGATTCGTACTTAAAAAGATGTGGCCATGTTTTTTGAAGAGAATAGTTAGTGCTGATGTTGAAACACAAACAAAGTTGGCAGCTTTGAATATTTTTCCATTGGGTATCAAGAAGACCAAACTGGAGCAGCATAATTGACCACTGACCGGCCAATTGTTTTATAGCTAGCCAACAAGGTTTCTTTGCCCATTCCCCAAGTGCTGCCGGCTAGCGCTTTGAGGAGCTTGCTTCTACTTCGCAACCTGTGCGTTATTGCAGTGGCATGAGCTGAGGAGGTAAACAGGCTGTCAAAGGTGACCCCCAAAATCTTTGGGTGGTTCACAGTCGGTATAATTTTTTAACAAAATTATTTATTTATATTCCATGGGGTACCATGATATATGGAATCAGTGGTCTCTGATGTCCCTAATAGTTCCTTAATAGTGGTTTACCCAAATAATCTTAGGATCTCTAAAAAGTAACCCTGAATATTGGTCAAACAATTCTGAAAAGGATTTGTGGTCATTATGGAATTTTAAGGAGGGGCTGGGATACCACGATATATGGAAATAGTATCGATAGTACCAAAGGTCCTTAATAGTTCCCTATTAGTGGTTTATACAAAATAATCTTAGGATCCCTGCGAATTGGCCATGAAATTCTGGAGAGGGTTTGTGGTCATTATGGAATTTTAAGGAGGAGCTGGGATAACACAATATTTGGAATCGGTAATCCCTTAATAGTTTCCTATTACTGGTTTATCCCAAATAATCTTAGAATCCCTGAAAAGTGGTCCTGAAAATTGGTCAAGAAATCCTCTCAAAAATGGTCAGTTTTCTTTCTCCTAATTCAATTACAATATTCTGTTAAGTGAGCTGCAAAATGAGCACTGTTAACAAATCTGGTTTGTGTCTTTGCTAGTTAAATTCGAATTTAACTTCACACACATTAAAATAAAGCATTCAAAGTATGAGGCAGAAAATCAAGATTTTAGCATATAGTAGTTCTATAGTGGTATACGGTGATACTTAGAGTGGCTAGGATGGTACATACCCTGCTTGAAATGGAACTAGTACCAAACTAGTATTTTACTAGTACCAAAATTACCAGTGATTGTTTCCAACTGCAAACTTTCCTATACCATCATAATGCTCAAATTAACATTTGTACGCTTGTACCCAATTGTGTTCTTTAGAACCAGTTTGATACTAGTTCTAATATTCATAAAAAGTCGAAATAATTGGTGGTTTTGCTCTTTTGCAATCCTACTGCACAATTCCAAGTGAAAATTACTACACTACTAGTTTTTTTATACGGTTTTATTTCTAAAGATAGCAACAAAAAAATATATATTAAAAAATGTTGGAAATACATTTACCTAACAATTCAATATGAAAACCACGTTGATATCATTGATTTTATTGTGTCCAAAAATTCCATTCAGGTACATATCTCCATTTCGTTACAAAAACATTTGCCGTACGATAAAACAAATATTAAACTATTTGCTTGCAACCGGACCTAATTTGCATGCACTATTTATTCTCTCATTTGAAGGGATATGTTTGAAAATATCGTTTTTTATGCAAAATATTTCAAAATTATATTTTAATAATTTAAAAAAATTATTTTTTCCAACACATGTCAAACAAAAATCAGTCTACAAGTGCCGCCATTCAACTACTCCTAGTACTAGTATTTTTCCATATAAACTCTAACCCAATTTTTACTAGTGTCTGTTGTTCTAGTATTAGTACTAGTGGCATTAAGACAATTATCGCTTCATTTCCTGCAGGGTAGTGTTAGCTTTATCAATATTATACAATTCTAAATAAAATTCACACAGTACTCCCCAATGGGGTTTTCGTAATTATTATTTTGACTATTTTATTATAATACACTCCCGCTCACTTAAATAGGTTCACTGTTTTGTTTACATTCAAATTAATATTTTGCAAAAAATAATGGACTAATTGGTTATATTAAAATTTTAATTAATACCATGATGTCTTATATATCACTAGATAGACAAACATTGGTGCAATACTTAATAACCGATTTTTAATATTTTTTTTTCTAAAATACTACATTTTTGAACAATATTTTTTGGCTCATTTGAATAGGTTCGTCATCTTTAATTGACAAAAACAACAACAAATTGCATATTTCATGAAACTTTTTTATTTTATAAACATTTTTACAAGGTTTTAGAAAATATTTACTAAGGAACATATCCGCCGTTACTTGATATAAATCCGAAAATTCGAGATGATAAAGAGTTATAAAGATTCTTAAGTAATGGCAAGGAAATTTCGGTCCAAGCCTTTTTAGTTCCTTCAATTTAGGCTTCTTTTCTGCCCGACCTATACACATTACGCGAAATAATATCCGAAACCTTTTCAATAATAAATAGGTGAGAAGATTATGGAGGCCACTACAAAATTTTTACATTCTGGCTTCAAATCCACCCTTTTACAGCCCTGGCGGTATGGATCCGAAAATGTAAAAAAAAACGGTTTCCAGTATGGCATTACAAATATTACAATTCTTACTAGATGAAAGAAATTTAAGCTCACATGTTTCATGATACGAAATTGCCCCCCACTACATCCCACATCCTC